TCCCTCTCTCTCCCTCTCCCTCCCTCTCCCTCCCTCTCTCTCCCTCTCCCTCCCTGTCTGTTGCTTCTGCCATTTTTATAAGTCTTTTCAATAATACATTAGGAACGTTGCCATTAAACAAGTTTAGGCTCTTATAGCCTATCGCACTGCTATTACTCATAACATTGTTTGGAGGCATGACTCAGGTTTATAAATATACACACAGAGCCCAATATTTAATATATAAGATAGATAAGAACCAATAAAGATTACTTATGATCAAAGCTGAATTTACCGCTGGAGAGAGCGTCATGTCGTCTCGGAAGCTGGGTTACGTGCCCGGTCTTGGAGCAGTAGTTGTTTTTTTGTTAAAAGAGGTAATTTTTTATCCAAATTCTTTGTCTTCATCCGATTTCTCAGTTAACCGAGGCCTTCGCTAACCGAAGTTTTACTGTATAAGTGCTTTCACCCATGAACTTGACTACCCTGGTCGAAATTTAATACAAAAGATTTAGTATCAACAAAATGATGGTTGATTAGAAAAAGAATTTTGCTATTTCAAGCATCTCCATAGGATATTATTAAGGGCAGAAAATGTTTTGAGCCTTTTCACAATTTTTCGCTGAATTCGTTGACGATCTTGTTCATTTTCTTTTACATCCTGAGCTGCCATAATGCTTCAGTCTTTTACATTTCTTTATAGCTTGATATCTTGTGTTACCCTGAATAAGGTATTAACATCTTAGTTTGAATAATAAACAGATTCAGTGTAAAATAGCTCAATATGAGCAATAATGTGGGATCGGCTGGTGAGACGATTATCGAGATGGAGATCACGCCTCTCACCAGCAGTCCCGGAAACGACCTCTCGCCACCGGACAGGTGAGAATAAGTGTAATATCCCACCCGGAACTTGACGATGAAATAGCATTAGTTAAACGTTGTTTCAATATCAACTCGTGATCCACGTTATTCCACCGTCATTTGCTTGGAGGGAAATGTTCTCTCTGTGGCTCGAGTAATTCTTCTTGATGATAATTCATCCAGTTAAAATTTAGGGCAGGGAATATAACAGGCTGTCGCCGGTGTAGAGGCGCAACAGAGTCGCGATAGAGCAGGAATGTCCGCATTAGAGACGATATCGCCAGCCGCGTAGCGGCGCTAATTAACCTCTGAGTACCTGCCTAGGTGTGCTCTGTCCTGCCGACACGCAGCCCTCACTGAGCACCGCCGGCTCAAACCTGCCCAACGCCCGCTCTGGGGCGGCTCTGGTAATGTACGCGGCAGTTACGCGTTACCGTTTGTCAACGATTTAAAAAATTTTACTTTCTCTCTCTGAAATCACCTAGACTTCAATCTTGCAATGACAGGTTGTATTGGCATTGGTTTTTTACATTCACATCGTATTGACTTTAGCAACGTTATTTAGAAACTAACAAATTCAATTATCGAGGAAACATACACCTCGAATTACTCACCGCTACTCTGCAAACGTTGACGGCAGCTCCGGGAATCGAACGCAGATCCTCCGCGACGTATTCGACGCCTTTACCACCTTGACCACGCGAACACCTTTCCAGCTCTATGAACTACTTAACTATAATACATAACAAATGACTCAGTAGCGGCCGCTACCGCTACCGCTATATGCTCTAAATGTAGCGGGCGCAACCGCTGCCGCTAGAATTGCTCAAATGTAGCCCCGCTACCGCTACCGCTATATGCTCTAAATGTAGCGGGCGCTACCGCTGTATGCTCTAAATGTAGCGGGCGCTACCGCTGCCGCTAGAATTGCATAAATGTAGCCCCGCTACCGCTACCGCTACTGAAAATGTAGCGCGCTATTGCCCACCTCTGGTTAAACGTTGTTTCAACGATATCAACTCGTGATCCACGTTATTCCACCGTCATTTGCTTGGAGGGAAATGTTCTCTCTGTGGCTCGAGTAATTTTTCTTGATGATGATTCTGCGGGTTTAAGTTCAGGAATAATTGTGAGCTGTTAGCTTATAATGTCGCGTGTTGTTTAAACGTGGTTCAAATTAAGCTAAAATTTATTATAAAATTATTTATTCTGAAACACGTCTGAGGCATTTTCAAATTAAAAATGAGATCACATTAAAATCAGAAAAATTTAAACTATATGATATCACATTGCCTCAGACGGGTTGAGGAAAAATTCAGGATTGAGAAGCATAGAATTAAATGTACTCCAAAAAAGCTTTAATAGTCTAAGAATTCAATATTACTTAGATTATTACTAAATCACCAAGTTTGAACTCAAATTAATATTATTAATTAATTATTTAATTCTTCAGACAAACAGAAGAAGACGTCATGAGCCTTGCAGACGCAATAGAATGCGACGACTTACAACAACTGAAGAAGTTGCTAGGCCAAACGGACTCCAGTAACAGCGAGCAAAAGACCAACACGGAGCCCAAAAAAAGCATTCCTGTTTACCTGAAACAAATTTCGCTGGTTGTCGATTATCAAACTCTCTCAGTTAGGAGCAAAAGAGGTAAAACTGCCCTACACTTGACCATAGAAAAAGGATATGACGGATTTTCTCAATCAATCATTGAAAAATTTCCACAGATGCTCTTAGAAACGGACAAGAGAGGCGACACTCCATTACATTATATAATTAAATACGAGCGCACTAAGCTGTGCTCGAACGTTAAAGATTTTCTTGCTGAAGAAATTATACATAAAAAGAACGAGAAGTCGGTCACAGCAATGCATTCTGCGGCGATCGAACGACGTCCAGAAATCATGAAAATTTTGCTCGAAAAGAAAGGAGACCCAAGAATATTAACCAGCAACTTACATACTCCCCTCCACTTCGCCGCGCAATACGGCTCAGAAGAATGCGTTAAGCTACTCCTAGCAGCGGACAAAGACGTCGAAAATCTCCAAACAAACGCCCAGGAAGGGGCAGAAAAGTACGTGAACATGCGCACAAAACATGGACGAACAGCGCTCATGTTCGCAGCCAAGCAAGGATTTCTGGAAATTTGTAAGCTTCTCAAGTCTACCGATGCGAACCTCCAATGTGTAGAGGGGAAAACTGCCTTGCACTACGCATTAAACAAAGGACTAGAACGTGTTGTCTTCTATATAGTTGAACGACTACAGACGGATTGTTTGATAAAAGACAAAGATGGGAATCTTCCTTTACATTTATCCGTTTGTGGCAGAAAAGAGTGCTTTTCATACATGCTTCAAAAAACTGATTCAGATGCATTGAGTGATGACGTTGTTGCTGAACTCGTAAAACTGGCAGCAACAAAATCACTGAAGAACATCCAAATAATGGCAGATAATGAGAAATTCCGTGAACGCCTAATAACATATCGTGATCCTGCGAACAACAATTTACTTCACCTCACTGTCGTGAGAGAGAGTTACTCCTCTGCTCTTGCTCTGATAAGGAACACAAAAATTAGTAAAACTTCTAAAAATAGCGATGATAACACCCCACTTCACTTGCTGATAATGCATTCAGGTAGAGCTATGTCCGATCAGGAAGACGAGCGACGACAGGTACAGACAGCGTTGCTACGTAGCGCTCAAGACGTTGTCAACTCGGCCAACAAACACGGGGAAACTCCTTTATACTTGGCATCGAAGTTCGGAGCTCATGACATCCTCTGCTCACTTCTTCAGAAAAAACCTGTTCTGAAATTCACAACACCACAAGAAAGCGCAATTCACATTGCTGCTCAAAAAGGACACGATGCCTGTTTGAAAATGCTGCTACGCTCAGCAAGGTCAAAAGATTTTATCAAACTCCGAAGAATGAAAGTTCACCCTCTGCATTTGTCCTCCAAGCACGGTCACTTAGAGTGCGCTAAGCTTCTATTGACAAGCTCTTTTGTGAGTGAAAATTAAGTTTTTACTAATTCAATAATGAGATTATCGTTCCAAACATTTTCAATATAGGACATTTTGGCTCAACTATATGTGGGAAAATGATGTCATTCACGCAATTTCCTTCTCGTCATCAAGACGCTAACCGTGACAATGCACCCATTTCACCCGTGGGTACTTTCATGAAGCTAGGGTTTAATACGTTAACACCTTAAACAGATTTTCCTATTCAGTGAGCTGAATATTTACAGTTGAGTTCTCTTTTCTCGCAGGGAGATCAGAATTTCAAAGAGAACTTGACCAGCAAAGCTGAAAACGGCCACTATCCAGTGGACAAAGCCTTCGCCGGCATGCATGGCGAGCTCTTCACATTCCTGCTCATCCAGATGGCTAAGGATGACAAGGATGAGGAATTCTCAACTCGACTTCACGGATATTTTAAGAAAAGCATGAAAGAAATAGACATGTATGTACATTTTCAGCACTACTTCTATCTGTATTTATATGCATAACAATTTAACTCACAAATTTTCAGCACAAATAAACCAAGGTCTTTTCGCGCATCCCTCATATAATCGTATGTTAGACGTTAATTTATTGAAACTATATAAAAGTATGTTATTTCGGTGTAAGATCTCACAGTATCTGAGACTCAGTAGGTAATAGAGCAATTAAGTGCATGAAGCCCAGCCTCAATTTGAATACTATAACACACTTCACGTTGTTATTCTATGCAAATTTTCTATCAGAGTTACATAATGTACGTAGCAGACCTATTTCCTTCTCATTGACAACGATTTATTGACAAAAAGCTCATGTAAAGAATATAAATTTAAACGAAACTGAACTAAATTAAAATAAATTTTTATTCTCTAGGGGTAACGAGCAACAGAAGGCCAAGCTATTGGCTTTCAGGTCCGCAGTTCTGGAAGCAGTGATTGAGAGCAACTGGTGCAACGTGGCATTCAACACACAATTCTGTGGCAACATCCGGCAGCCTCTCACCGCCAATGAAGAAGAAGTTCATAATAAAATAAAACCCTGTGACTCTTTTGCACGGCTCATCAGCAACCGCCCTGACTTGGCTTGCCGAGCCCTGGATAAGCACATCACACTTCTTCCTGGCGGCAACCGAGAACTGCACGACTACACCCCTTTCGAGTTCATCTACTATAGAACAGAAAGTGAGAATGGTTCGGGTTTGATATCTTCATGTTTGCAATATTTAATTGGATGAAAATATTTTGTGTCTAAAACTAACAAAATTTTCCGATTTTTCATGAAATGATCCAAGCCCAATTTCGCCAACTGCACCGATCCGAGCCCATTTTGCGATTGTAATAAAAAATTAGGTAGTAAAAATATGAAACTTGAAATTCAAACATCTATTCACAAGACCAAGACTGCTATTATTGTCCATAATGCCTGTTATATGTCAAATAATCAAATTTTCAAACATATAGGTTGTTGAAAGCATAATTTCACTGAAAATCAGACATTCTTCTTATTTTTAACGTTCTTCTTGCCTATTCAGATTCGAAAGTCATGTCTCCGTTCAGCGAGATAATGCCAGAGAGACAAACACACGATCTTGAGACCAGTTCCAACACTTGCAATGTTTCAACGACACGCGCCCAAAGTGACGTCGTCGAAGCGAATGATCCACAGAATTCTACTGAAAATTCTGAATTGTTGAACAAAACCAATTACGACAGCCATGATCTTAATGGTACTACTGAGACGAATCAACCTCCTGAGAGGCGTGGATCATCAAGCGTTGAGAAGAAAGACTCGTGGCTTGTTCGCAGATTCTATGGCCTCTACGGTAAAAGGGATGCGAAGGAGGAAGAAAATTCAAACTGTCTGGAATCAAATGTAGAAGAATTTAGCGGCATAAGCTGGTACAAAGACCATCCTCTTCAGAAAGCAGTTGAGACTTGCCGACAAGATCACGGCCGAGTGCTACGCCACAGATTAACCCAGTAAGATTGTATGTTGTGCCTTCTATTCGGTGCGTTTTAAAAATTTTAACTTAATTACACTCAAAAAGCGCCCACGTATTTGTGGCCCACGGCTATGCCCCTCTTCGCAGTACACTGCAGTAAGTGCAGTAACCTCAGATTATGTGATGGTCCAGAAGACCGAGTGACCCAGTAGTTACAGTTCAGAATAGCTAGGCTGGAGTTGTGAGTTGTCGGTTCGATCTCAGCTACCTACTACATACAGTTCTAGTCAAATTGGCAAGGTGGCCGCACGGTTAAGCAAAACTAAATTGAACTATCAAGTTACGTGTTCGAGGCCCCTAGCAAGCTTTGAATATTCTGAGATGTTAAGAATTGGTGACAGGTCCAACGGCCTAATCAACGCTAACACCGCTATAAAAACCATATGTCTACGTCGCACACACGTCGTATATAAACGTCAGCAGCCAGTTATACGCCTCTTTTATTTTAAATTTGTTCGAACTCAGAATTTGAAAGAAAACAGTTGAAGCTTTACTAATCGAAATTTATAAATTCTAAATTTATCCTTTCTCGACTGCAATATTACTAAATCTAATGCCCGTTTTCAAACAAGCTCGAGTTCAGCGGGACGACGCGTGACGAGGTGACGCAGGCGTTCGCTGACACGCGCTCGTCTGACGAGGACGTCTTGACCGCCGTCAGCGCCGTCATGCTTGCGGCTGACGATGACGCACACTGCGTCAGCTGGGGGACGGTTGAGGGTGGGTGTCAACTTGTGTGGTGGGTGTTAACTAGATGGTTGCAACTGGTATGGTGGGAGGCAACTAGTGTGGTGGGTGTTAACTAGTGTGGGGTGGCAACTGGGGTGATGGATGCTAACAAGAGTGGGTGGCAACCGGAGTGGTTGGTGTCAAATAGAGTGGTAGTTCTCGGCTGGAGCGGTGGGTGTCAACTTGAATGGTGGATGTCAACTAATGTGGTTGTAGTGTTGTAGTTGTAAACTGAATGTCGAAACAAATTTCAAAACACGTGAACCTTATTGGTGGTGGGCGCTTTGAGTTGGGCAACTAAACAATACCGTGAGTTTTTCGAAAAATTATTCAGATTGTTGGTCGCGAATTGGAGCCAAGTCACATAGCTTGATGATAAATTTGAAACGCGCATTTTGTGAGCCTTTAATCTATTATTTCAATCCTTCGAGCGTGAATAATATCACGGCCTAGTGATGACGACAAATAGTTATAACCTGCACTTCACTTCAGTTACTGGGTAATGTTTGCAGTGAACTTCAGTTGCTGGGTAATTTTGCAATGAGCATAATTGGCTGAAAATGTTTGCAGCTCTTGCTGCGTGAAAAACTTTAACTGTTATTCATGTCAAAATGCATTTTCTTGTAGCCACACCTCCTAATCACCTGCATTCGTCATTATCATAATCGACACATTTAACAAGAATGTTATAAACATCATCAGCTATTGATTTGCGATCGTGGAGGCTTCTATTTTTTATGGTTTCTTCCCACACAGCTTTCGACGCTTATAGAATCCCTGAACTGGAATCCATACATCAAACTATACACCAGAAAGAGAATCACTAAACGGGAAACCATACACAAAACTATACTCCAGAAATAGAATCACTGAACTGGAAACCATGCATAAAACTAAATACCAGAAAGAGAATCGCTGAACTGGAAACCATACCTTATGACCTGATGACCTTATTATGAGTTTAGGACTTCGTAGTCAACAAGGCGGTGATGGTGCTCCAATAATTGACAAATAAGAACAATTTCGCCGGAAACCATGTCGTCCATTATTATACAGTTCAGCCTCTTGCATACATTGGACAAGCCTCCTGGCCTCTACCTTTCCAACCTTGATCACATGTGAGGTCAAGGTCAATAGTCTGTAATATTGAGGTTTGTCCATCGGGCCTCCTTTGTGAATTGGTGTTATAATTCCCGCTTTGAGGCCCTCAGTAATAATTTCCTCCATCATCGAAGCTTTCCAGAGCATTGTGAGCGGAGATTTCAGTGCTTCAACACAATTCATCAACAGCACCGCCGGAATTCCATCCGGTTCTGGTGCTGGAAACGTCACCAGTTCTTTGATACTTATTTTCATATGTTCTGGTCCAAACTCGATGTTCTCCAACCCCCTTCCACCTGGCAGTTCCTGGAAAACTTTGATTTCATTTTTCTCTTGAGTAGCGGAGGTTGCTGAACACTGATTCAAACTGCAATCCCAACAACTCACACATGCCATGGTTATCTTATATTATCAAGGTTATATCAAGGACATCATTATCCTACAGTGGGCCCACTGACGTCAATATTTCAGCCTTGGACTGTGCGTATCTAAAAATATACTTGGGGTCCTCTTTCATGACCTCAACTACTCGTTCCTCGGCAGCTTGTTCTTCCATACTGAGCGAGACCTGCATCCTACGTTCAGTTTCCTTGTGGAGCTCTGCTAGTCTCTCTCTCATATGATCACTAGTGGATCTATTTCATCTATTTGTACGTTTAATCGTTTGCGCTTTCTCGCATTCTCATGAGGATTCGTCGGTCTCCCGGAATGCTGCTGACTTTGTTGCCCGTTTTTTCGGGGTATGACGCACACATACCTGTGCTAGTTTCTCGCCTAATTTTGGGTAGATTTCGTATGCATTCATCGCGTGAAACTCTTCTTACCAATCAGTTTCTTCAAGTTTATTCCAAATTGCCTCCCAATCCGTTCTTCGATGATGGAAGTTCTGTCAATCTCTTCTGGAGCATAACCCTGGCCTGGGTATCATTTTCAATTGTCGTATCCACCATCACCAGGCGGTGGCTGGACAGCGAGGTTTCTTCAACCGGAACGTCAACTACCATTCTTTCCTTATTAGTAAAAATGAGATCGTGGATATTGTGATCCCTTGTCTTGCTGACTGAGCAAGTGTTCCGCAGCAAACTTCACTAGTTTGGCTTCTGGACTTCTGTCACGGCCATCAACCTCCAAGCCGCCAGGGCTTGTCCAGTGAATACGAGAGATTGAAGTCCCTCTATTATCAGGCTGGAGGCTGGGTCACCCAGTCCTGCCACCCTGGTCTCTATTTCCTTTAGGGTTTTGTTAAAATTTACCGCTGATCAAGCAGACGGCCTATAGACTATGGCTCCGGTCAAGCCATCAGATTCCGATTCTCAAATCCACCGTGCTTCTTATTAGGGAGGTCCTAAGGTGAACAATTAATCATTTCTTCCTCCCTTCTTTCCGGTCTGCTCGGTAGTGTTGGAATCCTTCCATTGCAATTTCTGCATCGAGGATACGTTTTCTTAGATGCGACTCCGTTTGTTTAATCATGAAGATCCACCCTCTCCGACCAGCTCTTTCAGCACGCCAATCTTGAGACGCGCTCTTTGTTTGAAAAGCCCCTCGATGTTGGCCAGCAGAATGCCAGACTCTCCCATTCTTGGTGAACTTACCTGCAGCGGCACTGTTCTGGCAGGCGTCCTTGGGTCAGCAGCTCCTTCATCTGGAGTTGCATTATTTCCAGTTGCTGCATCTGTTGCTTTATTTGCTTCCTCATCTCTAAAAGAGCCCTGCAGGTAACCTATAGCCCCCTGCACGCGTCCCTGTCGCATACGCATGGCCCACTCACTGGAGTAGTTAGGTCGTCTCTCCTTCTCCAAGAACTACCCTCCTCACCGCTCCTTCTAACAGTGTTTTCCGCAACACTATCGCTGCTCCTTTCTTCCCTGTGATGGTGAGGCCTTTGAGTGAGTGAATGGGTCAAGACGAGAGGATGAGGCAAGAGTAAAGCTAACTGCCATGGAATGGGAAGTGGCACGCGGCGAGGTGTGGTCGACCTCACCAGGCTTACAAGGTCGATTCCTTCATGGCTGCGATAAGCTTAGTTTCGTTTTCTTTGAAGTTTTTGCAAATACTCATTACACAGTTCTTACATGCAAAAGAAACTCTCGTTTGATTAAGCTGAACCAACTGAGTATATTTACTGTATGAAAAACTGAGCTGGAAGAACGCTGAGCTCAATCACTGACCTCAACACCCAAAGCTCTGAAAAACAGCTCACACAAAGCTTTATAGGCTCGGCAGGAAGTCGTAAATAACTTCGGCGGCGCTGCAATCATACTTGACTTTCTAGCGCTTCGTCCACACTTGACAGTTTCACTTCCAAAATACTGCTCAACTCTCTTTTTCAATTCGATTATTTATTGTGAAATTTTTTTTCTCTGTTTTACGTGTTGGATGCTATAGCTACAGAAACTGTGTAGGCTTTTGCCCAGTCCGATTTATCCCAACCCAACTCAAAAACGAAACTGGAACGTTGTGGTGTCCGACCACTTTCATGTTGAGAAGTTTACACTTTTTACTGACTTCTCTGATTTTCCGCCGGAACACTGAATTAACACGTTGGCCGCGATTGCTGATTTGGCCCGAATGCCGTACGGGCGATAGGTTCAAACTTGTATATCTTCAGTTACCCGGCAGATAGCAAGGAGAAAAGTTGTGTGCAGCTCTGCAGCGGTATGTTCTGTAGTGCGATAATTGTTTTTCAATCAGGTATGAAATATAATGATGTTGGCAACACCCAATTTTGTAGTTTCAGATCAATAAGAAAATATTTTATCTTCTTTTCATACTAAGATAGATATATATATTGCTTTCATCAATAGACACAAATTTCGTAATTTTTGTATTACTTGCATTTGAAAATATAACTGTTTCTCTAAGCAGTAGTTGACTTCAAATCATTCCTTAACATGCCTATTTAATTGCATCATTGAAATTTTAAATTTGAAAGAGTAATAAGATTTTATAAAAATATGTATTTTTCATATGAATGTACCACATGTGTACACATCGCGATTCTGAGAAGTACAGCGTGTACATATATGGCGCACATCGCGGCCAACGTGTTAAGACAATAATCGTCACACACAAACGTTTAACTACAGCGAGATTCAGGACAGAGCCGACACGTCCTGCCTCGACCTCCACCACGAGGGAACTGACATACATAAAATTATACACCCAAAAGAAAATCACTGACCTGGAAACGATACATAAAACTCTACACCAGAATGAGAAACACTGACCTGAAAACCATGCATTAACTATACACCAGAAGCTCCAGCAGGCTCGAACACCTCGGGCACCATGGAGGTGTCGTCGGCTGCCTGGAACCGCTCGGTGTGCGCGGTGCATCACCTGGAGCAGCGCCCACCGTGGGTCATCATCTTGGAGCTGTGCACTCTCATCCTCCTTGTGCTCCATGCGGTCGTGGAGCACAAATTTCTTAGGAGAGTAAGTATTATCTTGCGGGTGCTCAATTATATCCCAATTACCTCAAGTAGCTGAGATAGTCTAGGTGATAATCTCCTTTCAATTCTAGTTTGCAAGGTAGTTCCTGATCAAATTTCCCCAATGTTTTCATCGCGTTCCCATTTTCCCTTATTTTTTAATACTTCCTCGTATTACCTGTTACTTGTATGTTCCCAATTAACCCATTAATGTTGCAGGTTTTCCAATTTACCTACCCACTTGTGACGCCAATGACAGAATGCACGAATTTCTTGAAGTCATTTCCAGTCGTTTGACTTTTTTGCCTCCATTTCTTTGTTCGGAAATGTTTTGAAATGTACGAAGAATAATTAAGAGTCTATTAGGCAAGTTTTTATTCACATTCTAAGATATGAATATTATTCGAATTCTAACCAGATTAACGTGAAATTTTGTAGTTTATTATTTATGTTTAAAAGTTAATGATTCATTCTTGAGTTAACGTCCGGAAAAGGAGCGAGTAGAAGTGACAAATACTGCATAAATGGAAAATAAACTTAAAAGGGCAGAAAAAACACGAAAGATGTTTGAAAAAATGTATACATTTACCGTAAAAACTAGGTATTTTGCCTGAGTATTCCTCAGACTTGGTAGTTCTGGTCTCTTCTTGTGAGCTCTTGTAATTAGAAGTCATTCAGTTCATTAAGATTTTTAAAAAAATTTGTTATACCTGAACAAAAATTCTAGTTTGTGATATGAAATAGTAATGTTTCAATTATTAATCCGATGTAATCATATCTTTGTTTTATTTCAAGTCTAGTAATATGTATTCTATCTTTATCTTGACAACAATTGGACAATTAATATCATACTTTTCAGATTAAAATAATAGTTGAAGCCATTATGATATGATTATATGACAGACTGCCCCAGTCCTAGACCATTCGCTAGGAAAACTGTCAAAATCAAACCCTGACACAAAACTTAATGTTTTCACTGTTTACTGTTGGAATACATAAACCAGAAATTTTGTAAGAATATAAGGATGCATTTTACTTGTCAAGAAAGGTGCCCAATTGTATGAATTGCAGCTAGTAATTAGATCTTTTTGCAGACGACGAATTCGATGGCAGACGTTCACGGGGCCAGCCGCGTGCTGCGAATAGAAAACGGGCAAAAAGGAGGTAGTGTAGAAATCTATCTCCTCCTAGGGTTTTCAAGCTACAACATTGAGACGCATATCATTCGATGCGTAAAGACCATACCAGGGGAGTAACGAAGCCCGACTTTTTATTTTCGCATTCGTTTTTTTACACTCATTTTTTCGTTTTCTTCTCGTTTTCTTCAAATTTTCCCACCTCCCCCCCCCCCATTTTGAATCTAAACTATGCACAAATCTGAAAAAAAGCTGCGTTAGTCGATATGTATGGTCTTTACAAATCGAATGGTATATGCCTCATCGCTGTAACTTCAAAACTCTAGGAGGAGATAGGTTTGCCGTGACAATAAGTGTGAATGCTCAGGAGAGCGCGACAAAGTCCCGCCCACATCGCAATAAGCACTCAATGTAGCAAGGATACAAAACTAAGCGTTACTGCAGCTCGATTCCACTCAAGGATGGTGGGAGCGACTGCATGCGCACCTCCTCATACCGCGCCAAGCGGGTTACTGAGCTGCTCCTCAAGCAAACACTGTATTTATAGTGCTGGGCAGCGTATTAGTTCCTATCTAATTTGTTAAAGAACTCCCCCACCCGCCTCCATTTCATGGTCTGTAGTGAAAGCATAAATCAACGTACAGAGATGGCAATGGTACCGTTGGATAGGGCAGAATGTCAGCACTAAGATGAGACTAAAAACCGGAAAAGCCAAATCCAAAAATTTTAGGGTATAACCCCCCTCTTAAGTCACTCATGAATCATAATTAGAAGACTTTATTTCACCACACTTTAAAAGTAACACATTAAATGATCAATAAAGAATGATATTAACACATTGACACTTCACAGCTTTCATCTTAGGTGCTTTGCTTATGAGACAAACTCTTGATATGAGGCTAACTTTAGATATGAGGCTAACCCTTGATATGGGGCTAACTCTTAATTTGAGGCTAACTCTTGATATGAGGCTAACTCTTGATTTGAGGTTAACTCTTGATTTTTCGGCTAATTCTTGATTTGAGGCAACCTCTTGATTTGAGCCAACCTCTTGATTTGAGGCTAACTCTTGATATTATGCTAACTCTTGATTTGAGGCAACCTCTTGATATAGAGGTTAACTCTTGATATGATGCTAACTCTTGATATGAGGCTAACTCTAGATATTAGGCTAACTCTTGATTTGAGGCAACCTCTTGATTTAATGCTAACTCTTGATTTGAGGCTAATTCTAGATATGAGGCTAACTCTTGATATTAGGCTAACTCTTGATTTGAGGCAGCCTCTTGATTTAATGTTAACTCTTGATTTGAGGCTAATTCTAGATATGAGGCTAACTCTTGATATGATGCTAACTCTTGATTTGAGGCAATCTCTTGATTTAAGGCTAACTCTTGATATGAGGCTAACTCTAGATATGAGGCTAACTCTTGATATGAGGCTAAATCTTGATATGAGGCTAAATCTTGATATGAGGCTAAATCTTGATATGAGGCTAAATCTTGATATGAGGCTCTCCTAAAAGAAACAAATGAAATAGATAAATAATAGTAAGCAAAACATAAAACGTATAAATATACGACCTAAATATGTACATAATTTGTCCACATCAAATCTATTCACATATATATTTACATAATCACATCCTAACGTAGCACTGACCTTTGCTCTGGCTTTCCACGCAACAATAATCAACGAACCTTAGCATTGCTCGCATTTCTTTCGGTGAACTCTAAACTAAAATTACGAACAAAACTTAGAATAACAAATCATTTTGTTACAAATATTACCGCCTTGCATTACATTAAAAATGACAAATGATTTCTTTCCTCTACACTGATTAAGATTTAAAAATGTTACTGCTTCAGCTTGCAATTAGACGTTAGCTCATTTAACGGCTTTTCAACGATATTGAGTTATTGATTTTTATTGATATTTATTGTTATTGATATTGATGTTCAGTATTCAATCCCTCCTTGCGGACAAGAATCTATTTCTCCTTGACGTTGCCCCATGCAGTCGGAAATATTGTAACAATTCGGTAATATTGTGAGTTTCATATTTTCGTTTGATACATAAAATTAATGTTGTTTTACAAAACGTTTTCATTCTATAAAATTTTCGTATCGTTTTAAATGATTATACTCGGCATATTTCTATTAATTTTGTTCATCATCCTCAAACGGAAATGAGAAATATTTAGGTAAATTTGATCAACCTTAATTTGTAAACATATAATGGAGTTGACATAAAATAAGGAGTTTTTTGGCTCTGGTAGACGTTTAATTTATCCTACTGATAGTCCAAGCCTCATTTTCTATGCATGAGAAAATTTCAAAAAAATTTGTTACTTTATGTTACCGGACGAGCTCCTTCATTTTTAAACCGAAGTAATTATGAGACTGCACATTTTACTCTGTACGAAGAACTTTTCCTACTCGTGTACAAATCAGGAATCACGCATCACAACTGGAATCACGCATCACAACTGGAATCACGCATCACAACTGGAATCACGCATCATATCAGGAATCACGCATCATATCAGGAATCACGCATCACATCTGGAATCACGCATCATATCAGGAATCACGCATCAACGACAATGGGTCAGGTCTTGCTTAAATCTACGGAATTTTCACTTACCACTAATAATGTCGACTAATATCTAATGCTAAAAGAATGATTCAGAAATGCTTTGTGAAGAGATCAATGAAGAATAAATAATTAAATTAACTTGTGTCGCGAAAATGTTAGAAAATGTTGTCGCGTTAGAAAAAGTCGCTCATTTTACGATCCTCATATGGTTTAAAATTTTTATTCGTGATAAAAGTGGTAATACATAGTTTACATAATATATCTTACTGTCCGTTAATTGAAAATAATTAGCCAGATCGCCATTCCAAATTTCATACTTGTATCTTATTTAGGAGGAGAGTTATTGGTTGCCTTCATTTTTAAGAACCCTCATAGGGATTGACGAGGCTGGCGGCCGCTCCACGGGGCTCTTAACACCCTGTTGATTGTGTGAAAACCTCACAATCTACTACCCTTATCAGCGGCTGCAGCCTAGATAACCGAGGCGCAAGTGGCAAGATGTTCACAAGGTGATCAGAGCAATTCCTTTTACCTGAGCGGTTGATTGCACGATTCCGCCGGTCTTGAGTAATTAAAGTCACTATTTTAAGTTTTGTTAACTGGACCTGTTGATGCTAAGCAAGTTTCAGAATTTCATTCGATCAAGTTCAAATTACAAGTTTTATTATATTGTACAACGATCATCATTGCAAGCCTGATGATTCATGACGATAAAGTGAATTCAGTGAAACATCATTCAAAGATGGAAAAAAATGATAAGAATATTTTCTGGTTCCGAGATTTTAATGCTGCTTTTAGTTTTACTGGGCAATTAGGATTTTGTTTATTAAAGGAACTGCTATAGCATCAACAAATTTTAGCAAAATGGCAAAATTTTTCCATTTTCATCCACTTTTCATAATGATTAAATAACAGATAATGTCGACGAATGTCCTATGGAAACTGAATCATCCGTTGGAGTGAGCGTCATGTCGTCTCGGAAGATAGGTTACGTGAGCTGTAATGTATAAGCATTAATTCTTCAATAACTAAAATTTTGTTCGTTAACATAGGTAAATTTGTATCGAAGTTCTTCGTCTTTAACCGATTTTTAGCGCATTTTCTCATTTATGGAAAAAAGGCACTATTGTGCTCGCCATGTCCGTCTGTCTGTCCGTCCGTCCGTCCGTGACTTCAAGTTTTCGTCGACGAGAAAATGCACTCTCTGTCNGTTCGAGCGTTAAAGATTTTCTTACTGAAGAAATTATACATAAAAAGAACGAAAAATCGATTACAGCAATGCATTCTGCGGCGGTCGAACGACGTCCTGAAATCATGAAAATTTTGCTCGAGAAAGAAGGAGACCCAAGAATATTAACTAGCCATAAATATACTCCCCTCCACTTCGCCGCGCAATACGGCTCAGAGGAATGCGTTAAGCTACTCCTAGCAGCATGCAAAGAAAACGGCCAGGAAGGGGCAGAAAAACGAACAAACAAACGCCCAGGACGCCCAAGAAGGGAGAGAAAAGTACAAACAAACGCCCAGGAAAAAACAAACGCCCAGGAAGGGGCAGAAAAGTACGTGAACATGCGCACAAAACAAGGACTAACAGCGCTGATGTTCGCAGCCAAGGACGGATTTCTGGAAATTTGTAAGCTCCTGAAGTCCACCGAAGTGAACCTTCAATGTGTAAAGGGAAAAACTGCCTTGCACTACGCATTAACCAAAGGACTAGAACGTGTTGTCTCTTACGTAGTAGATGGACTCCAGGCAGATTGTTTGATAAAAGGCAAAGATGGTGATCTTCCTCTACATTTATCACTTTGTGGCAGGAAAGAGTGTTTTTCATACATGCTTAAAAAAACTGATTCGAATGCATTGAATGATGACGTTGTTGCTGACCTCGTAAAACTGGCAGCAACTAAATCATTAAAGAATATCAAAATAATGGCAGATGATGTGAAATTTCAAGAAAGTCTAACAACATATTATGATTCTAGGAACAACAATTTACTTCACCTCACTGTCGTGAGAGAGAGTTATTCCTCTGCTCTTGCTCTGATAAGGAAAACAAAAATAAGTAAAACTTCTAAAAACAGCGATGATAACACACCACTTCACTTGCTGATAATGCATTCAGGTAGAGCTTTGCCCGATCAGGACGCCGAGCGACGACAGGTACAGAAAGCGTTGCTACGCAGCGCTCAAGAAGTTGTCAACTCGGCCAACAAAAACGGGGAAACTCCTTTATACCTGGCATCGAAGTTCGGAGCTCATGACATCCTCTGCTCACTTCTTCAGAAAAAACCGGTTTTGAAATTCACAACACCTCAAGAAAGCGCAATTCACATTGCTGCTCAAAAAGGACACGATGCCTGTTTGAAAATGCTGTTACGCTCTGCAAAGTCTAAAGATTTTATCAAACTCCGAAAAATGAAAGTTCATCCCCTGCATTTGTCCTCCAAGCACGGTCACTTAGAGTGCGCTCAGCTTCTATTGACAAGCTCTTTTGTGAGTGGGAAATAAGTTTACTAATTCAATAATAAGATTTTTCGTTCCAAACATTTTCAATATAGGACATTTAATGCATACGTGGTTCAACCATAAGTGGGACAATAATGTCATTCACACAGTTTCCTTCTGGTCGTCAAGACGCTAGCTGTGATGCCCGTTTCATCCGATGGTAATTTCATAAAGCTAGGGTCGAATACGCTAGGGTTAAATACAAATTTCCCTATTCAATAAGCACATTTTACTATTTATTAAACATAATTTAATAAGAATGTTTACAGCTGAGTTTGCTTTTCTCGCAGGGAGATCAGGATTTCAAAGAGAACTTGACCAGCAAAACTGAAAACGGCCACTATCCAGTGGACAAAGCCTTCGCCGGCATGCATGGCGAGGTCTTCACATTCCTGCTCATCCAGATGGCTAAGGATGACAAGGATGAGGACTTCTCAGTTCGACTCCACGGATATTTAAAAAAAAGCATGGAAGAAATTGACATGTATGTAAAGTTTTAGCATTAATTCTATCTGGATTTATATGCATAGCAATTGAACTTACAAATTTTCATTACAAATAAACCAAGGTCTTTTCGCATATTCTTCATATAAGTTAGACATTGATTTATCGAAACTATATGAAAGTATTCTATTTAGGTAGAAGATCTCCCAGTATCTATAGTGACCCAGTAGGCACTAGAGCAATTGAGTGCATGAAGCCCAGCCGCAATTTGAATACTATAACATAATTCACGTTTTTATTCTTTGTAAATTTTGAACACAGTTTACATTTTGCAGCCGACTTTGCCTACCAATTTCCCTCTCATTTGTGTTGACAACGATTTATTGACGATAAGCTCGTGTAAAGAAGATAAATTTAAACGAAACTAAACCAAATTAAAAGAACTTTTTATTCTCAAGGGGTAACGAGCAACAGAAGGCCAAGCTATTGGCTTTCAGGTCCGCAGTTCTGGAAGCAGTGATTGAGAGCAACTGGTGCAACGTGGCATTCAACACACAATTCTGTGGCAACATCCGGCAGCCTCTCACCGCCAATGAAGAAGAAGTTCATAATAAAATAAAACCTTGTGACTCTTTTGCACGGCTCATCAGCAACCGCCCTGACTTGGCTTGCCGAGCCCTGGATAAGCACATCACACTTCTTCCTGGCGGCAACCGAGAACTGCACGACTACACCCCTTTCGAGTTCATCTACTATAGAATAGAAAGTAAGAAGGGTTCGGGTTTGATATCTTCATGTNTTAATGGAACAAAGCAAGAAGCAAAATTTACATTAAGAGTTAACACCATACATCTAACTATCTGGCACATTAGCTACTCAGTCTACCGATAAACAGGCGACATCTGCGAATTCCTTAAACAGGAAAATCTGCTGCACTTCTCCAATCTTCGAAGTAAGAAGACGGTTCACGTGGTGAACGTTAAGCACGAGCAGCTTCAAGGACAAGCTCTGAGAGTGCCACCTCGAGTCCAGTCCACGAGAGATCAGCAGCAACCCTACACGTTGAAAATAATAATACTTATGAACTGACTGAAACTAATCATTTAAGCATGTTAATTATGGAATCGCAATATTATCACTAAACAGCAACTGAATATGAAATAGAAGCAGCATATTTTATTGTCTAATCTCAATTTGGTTGAACGGAACCTCTTACCAATCAAGGCAGGGTAGGTTAACTTGAACCACACGAGTTAAGGCGTAATGGTTATCGTCAACCATGCCCAGAAATGGGTTGTTCACAGGAGTACTGCTGGGTAACGACTAGTCTAAGGTCCTGTCTATCACTCTTGTCGAGTGTTTCCAACTGGTGCCTTCTAGAATTTAATTTACAACCTTACAGGAAGTAGGAAAATGGGGAGGTAGGGAGTCCCATGGGGTTGAGCGAAGGACACAAATTCCTCAACGCTCTCGTTGTATTACCCGTTCCTTCCTCCCCTTCTGTTTGAGGGAAAAATCACGGTCAGTTGGGCATAGCTAACAGCAGAGAAAGCTCTGCGCAACCTCCCAAAGTAATCAGTGATTATTTTTTGAAAATCATTCCATAAGTGAACAGATCAATTTCACGAATGTAATTAAATAATTTTATCGACCTAAACTATAGTTTTATAGCTTTCTTCAATGTGCAAACGTATTTTTGAGCCAGCCATTATTTGAGTAAGAAACTGAATGATCATAGTTGCATATATTCATGGACAGTCTGAATGCTAAGAATAGAACCGAGAACACTGTTCGCAGTGCATTGAATTTCTCCTGTCGGCAGCGAACGGTTTATCTATTATTGAAAAATAAGCCGCTGTCTGCAGTGAAGACGAGAAATTTTGCTGTAACTCGGGAAATAGTGAGTTTCTGAATAGTAATGAAAAGGCATGCCTCGACGTAACTAAAAAAATCCATGCACAATTATTATTGCAGTTCATACCTCACTACTCTCGCGCACCCTCGGCCACGTCACTACGCTGCCAGACGCTGCCGCTGAAATTTACCCTCAGCTCGCCCAGCGTGCCGAGTGTAGAGTTGGAGCGTCCGTGAACGGCCCTCTTAAGAGTCAGGTGGAGCGGTCGCTGAACGTCGCATCGAGCCCAAACGGCCTCACGCGATTAAAATTTCTCGGCCAGGCTCTGCCTTCTAACGTCTGGCTGCACATTCCCCTCCTCCACTCCCCCTCCTCTACATTTTTAATCAGCGAGCGACATACTACTAATTTTTTTACGAAATTGTACTCTATTATCAAATTGGTTGTTTTCTTACTAATAACCTTTATTGACAATACGTGTTTACAATTTACGGCAATGCTGTGTTGAGATAAAACAACTAAGTTAATTTAGGCTGTTTCATAAAAGCACGGGGGCGGGGAAAGCGATTTATTGGTGAACAAATTAATTGTTAAAGTAATTGTGCTGGATATTATACCTATGTGTGTGACATAATATTTTCGGCATGCAGGTCTTTCATTGGCATGTGTGTAACTTTCATAGCCTCAAAGTTACGTAGATAATTTTCGGGTTGTGTTCTCACCTTCCTTCTATAACTATACATAACTGTATAGTATGTATAGTTATACCATATATGTATGTATATGTATGAATACTACAATATGTATACTACTATAACTATACATATTAATGGACTGACTGACGGGTATCATTCGTTAATAGATATTGCGACATAGCAATGTTAACTAATTTATAATTTGTAACATTGAGTTCTCTGAAGGGGTGTTGGGCATCTCCCCTTGCGGCTTGACCCCACATTGCCCCCCGCCCCCTGGTGGATCCTTTGCCGCTCCAGGGGCCAACAGCTGCCGGCCCCGGGCGAGTCCCCCTTGCGCCACAGGAGGCGAACCACCGAGCAAGGAGGGTGTGCTGGAAAGGAGGGTGTGCTGCTTCAAGGAGGGTGTGCTGTCAGGCATCATCTGCATCCACGTGGATGATTTTTGCTGGGCCGGAGAGGACTTCTTCAGAGATACAGTCATCAATTCATTGAAGGACAAGTTCCTCATCGGGACAACGAGCCGTCGCTCCATCGGGCCGTGGCTGTCCAGTGACCTGGCAGTCCAAGCGACTTCGAAGGGTGGTGTAGTCTACTTTAGCTGCTGAAACTTTAGCTCTTCTGGATTCTGCTGAGGCTGGGGTGTACATCGCTACGCTGTTAGCTGAGTGCCTGAATCTTTCTGTCGGTGACATTGTCGTGAAGTGTTTCGTTGACAATAGATCCCTCGTTGATGCCGTGCACTCCACTAAAGCATTTGAAGACAAACATCTTCGTATAAATATGGCAGTCTTACGTGATAAGTTGTCACTTGGGTTCGGTCATCCCTACAACTAGCCAATGTTCTTACAAAGAGAGGCGCCTGTCCTAAACCTCTTTTGTCAGCGATTGGTGGCTGCTCCATCAGTAGCCAGTAGAACTTATTAAAGGATACTAATTTGTAAATAGTGGTATTATTAGGTTTAATAGTTTCGTTATAATGTTCTCGTTGTATTGTTGATTTCTCGTCCTTTGTGATATTTGTGTTGTCGGCTGTATTTTTTTATTGTAGAAGAAAATTTGGGGAGAAATGTTAATATCTGATTGGTTTGCTGGTGTTGCCCAGTGGTTGTGACGTCAAACTTTTTCGGTCGTAAGATGGCTTTGTGCTGATGGCTTTGTGCTGCGCGCTCATTGGTTCGGGGAGCGCCGGTAGCCTACGTGGCGTGGGCTGGCTGTAACGTGACGCAAGTTGGCGGCAATGCTGTTGTGGACAGGAGTCTAGCGTGAACCATGATAGGGTGAGCATTTTGCGAGCGTGTGCTATTAACAGCATCAAACCCTTCGACTGTTCTTTCTACTTTTCCTGTCCAACTTCCCACCCCTTAAACTGATTTCCGCTTTTTTCCTCCAATTATTCTTCATTAATAAAGCGATCATCACACTGGGCATTTAAACTTCAGGTTCGCAGTGTTTTCAGTGCAAAAGTGATATTTTGACCATTTATTTCAATCGTAAATTGATTACGGTACCCTAGATTTTTGCAAGATTTCTAATTTAAATTTATTTCTTTTACAGTATACGTTAATCCGATCCTGAGACTGGCCGGCCTTACTTATTTCTACGTCACCCTTTCGTCACCGTGTTCTTTCAACCCGCCACCTTCACCTTCTTGTTTACCGTATTCTGAATTTGGGATTCCGCTCTTAACCACCGAATTTTGTCCGCATTACAAGGAAGAAAATTCTCTTCAAATCAAACTCAAAACTTTGTTGAATAAATTAGAGTAAAAACTTAGATGATTATTTCATTAATTTAAGACTCTGCATAGACTTAAGACTCAGCCGCGTTAGGCGCTAATGATGTTTTTTAACTATTACTAGGTCCAATAACTCCCCTCATAAATAAGATATAAGTCTGAAATTTGGAATGCTGTCTTGGCTAATTATTTTCAATACGTAGACATTAAGATAAATTATGTCAATTTTTTATTTCAACTGTTATCAGGGAGGATGAAATTTTGCACCCCGATGTTCGTGAAGCGTGTGACTTTTCTAGTAATTTCTCGATATACGTCGGTTTAACTATGTATTCTTCATTGATCGCTATCTCAAACATTTCTGAATTATTATTCTAGAATTAGATATAAGCACTTGAAGCCCAATTGTAGGTGAAACTTCCGTAGATTAAAGCACGACCAGACCTTTGGTTGTCATGCTATTTGCGGGCGCAGGCAATAAATCTTCTCTTCAAGGTAAACATTGGTGTAGTTTGGCAGAAATTTTTCTTCAATGCAGGTTTCATTGAAGAAGAGAGAGTATTTCTTATTGATAATTTTCTTATTGTTTTTCTCTATTCGGCGAATTAGGCTTTTGATAGGAACTGAAAAGTCAAATATCAGGTTTCCAAGGGACATTTTATTATTATTTTACGACGTTTTGAATGCAACTTCATTCATTATCTTGTAGAGGAAGAGTTTTGCAACAAGTGAATTTGAAATTTTGAAATGACATTAGTACAAACATGGGGTATTATGGATACAGATTGAAATCAAAACTTAAATTACGAGAACAGTTTCAACGTCCAGACAAATCGGGCAGTTTGTAAATTAATAGCTGGAGACTCCTGCTTGATGATGAGAGCCTCAGCTATGGATAGTCTCGTGGCGTCTGGGCATCTCATGATGATTCTGGTTTGGGTCTCCAACGTCGCGCTAGTGAGGGTCTCATTATGAGCCTCTCTCATGTGGTTCTTCGGTCGTCCGGTCTGGAGGTGGCATGTTAGGCGGCGGCTCAAAGTCGTGCTGGTCAAACCGATATAATTTACGTTCTGGAGTTTGATTTGGTCGGCTGCTATTGTGCTTCTGATGTTATTCAGCACAATTGATTTGAGGACAAATTCAGGTGTTGCAAAACTCTTCCTCTACTTGATAATGAATGAAGTTGCATTCGAAACGTCATAAAATAATAATAAAATGTCCCTTGGAAACCTTATATTTGACTTTTCAGTTCCTATCAAGAGCCTAATTCGCCGAATAGAGAAAAACAATAAGAAAATTATGATTAAGAAATACTCTCTGGTCTTCAATGAAACCTGCATTCAAGGCAAACATGCACTCTTCTTTCCCTGCCCACTTCGCAGTCTGGTCTATGAGCGTCATGGTCGTTTATGAGCGTAATTATGTTTTTAAATATGAAGAGAATGAATGCAAAAACAACACAATTTTGTATAAAGTTTTCCATATGCTACCACATGAACGATTATTTTAATACACATCTTTGAATTAAATGAACTAGAATATAGTATATTAAACTCTATACGCGCAGGATTCTATGTGATCATTGGAGCATTTCAGTCGTTGTGGAAATTTTCCATGTCAGCAATTCATTAAAAACGGTTAAGAAATGTTCTTAATTTCACGTCATTCCATTCCTAAGAAATTTTTCAAAGAGAAAAAAAGTTAGTAACAATGCATTGAACATCGCTTAATAATATGTCATATTAATATCAAACTAGGCCCACTGGATTACTGTCATACTGGATTTCTGATATAAATTATTATTACCATTAGTGTAAAAATGCTGATTTCCATTTTAATAAAAAGGCATATATAATTGCTTCATTCTAAAACCAAATAACTTGAGAGAAACCCACAATAATACAAAGTATCATGGTACCCCTTGCGAACCCCTTCATAAACATAGAAGTAAGATACAGGTTCGCAGTAGGAATGCAAACCCCTTCATAAACATAGAAGTAAGATACAGGTTCGCAGTAGGAATGCAAACCCCTTCATAATCATAGAAGTAAGATACAGGTTCGCAGTAGGAATGCAAACCCCTTCATAATCATAGAAGTAAGATACAGGTTCGCAGTAGGAATGCGAACCCCTTCATAATCATAGAAGTAAGATACAGGTTCGCAGTAGGAATGCGAACCCCTTCATAATCATAGAAGTAAGATACAGGAAAAGGAAGGATACAGAAAGGAAAAGGATACAGGAAGATAATCACTGCTGCTTTTTTAACGTTGCAAGATTAAAATTCTATGCTCATATATGGACTATAGGCCTAAATGTAGAGTGGCATTCTGTGTTTGGGGGTGAGAAGGAGGGGTGAGGGGCAGGGTTTAAAGTGCCAACCTGCCAGCGAACGACGTTTACAATAATTTATTGTGGTGGTGAGCTGGTAGGGGGAGCAGATACCCTTACCTATCGAATTTCTGGGGAGGCTGAGGTGAGGATCAAATCAGCAAACTGTCTGAACATCTCCATATTTTACCTTATTTTATGATTTGAAATTTCTCGCACTTAATATTGCGATTGATGTTTCCGGAAGAGCTCCTAATTAAATAATCCGTTTGCAGATAGTAGAAAAATTTGGAGCGATATTAACGATGGTGTTGTCCATAAATTAATAAGTACATATTCAAACAACGTTGACATTGCTATGTTACAATATCTATTAATGAATGATACCCGTCAGTCAGTCCTTGAACAAATTTATATAAGAATACAAAGGAGCCTGTAACTATACAGTGCACATAAAAAGAATATAGTTCACCTAATAAATATACAGTGCAACTAATAGCTATAAAGTTATGTATAGTTATATTATGTAGGTGAGGGGACGAGGAGACACATCGCACTCGTACACTGTCATGGGCCCACAGCAGTAAATCACTCCTAAACTCTCACCTACCCCACTCATCCTCTCCACGGTTATCCTCGCTGGAGGACAACGTTACCCAAGGCTCGCCGTTGTCTCGCGTTTACACGCAGTTCGAATATGGTAGCGTAGCGCGGAGTGACGCGGACTTCGACCGTCCGTGAATGCGACTGTAAAATATAATTTGTAAATAGAAATTTTTGTATGTATTTATTCCTGAACTTTTGACGGGATTTTTACAGTGCACAGTATATGCCGTGACAATGTGGTATGGCGATACTACTTGTATCAGTTATTTACAGTACCGGCTGCGATAACAACACAAGACGATAGAGGTAGGGGAGGACAATGGGGAGGTAAGTTGTCCTAAATGTGAACCTACACGTGACCGGCAGAATATCGTGCTCAAATGAATACCTAGCACTTACCTAGACTCTTATATTTGCCCTGCAGAGGGTTCAAGTTGAGGGGGGCCGAGAGTGAGATGGAAAGTTCCGTATTGGCCGCCGTGGAGATAGAAGCCACAGCGGAGACGCTAGCGGCACTGCTGATACTGCCAACCAACTCAGTGAGCTGACACCTGCGCGTGGCAAGCGTCATTAAGGATAACTCAAAACATTACGTGCCACTGTCGGTGCAGAAGCTAGCATATGTACGGGTGAATTCCAATTCAGAGACTATGCCTGTAAAGTAAGTACAGACAGTGTAACATGTACGGGTCAATGTCAATATAGTACCTGAAGCTTGTACGTAGCCAAGTCAGCGCCGAACCCATGATTGCTAACTGCATTATGTACGTGTAAGTGCTCAGTGTGAGCCGATATCTGAGGACTGGCACAAGTCAATTTAAAATTTGACTAGTTTTACTCATTGAGTCCTGTATGAATTAACCAAATAACCATAGTCAATGTTATCGATAGTTAAAATTTTGGTAACATATATATATATATATAAGTATATGCTATATAGTATATAGTATATATATATATACTAAAGTTTGCTGTGAGTAGGCAAAGAGTTTCATGTCAAGAATCAATTTAATACTTAAAAATGAAGCGTCACTAGCCTGGATCCGTTTAGGCACTCGAGCAGATCTTCACATGGCGCTTGTGTCGCCACGGAACTCTCCTCGAGGTGCAGCTCAAGTTGTCCGCGGTGAAGGCTTGTCAATCCAGACCAGCTGGAGCCAGCTGCGGCCAGCTCAGCAGACGGTAATTTGATGTTGATGAGACGAGGTTGCTCGTATGACAACATTAGTGATGCTGCTTCTAGATTGCGAGCTGAAGGCGGAAAGATTATAGAAGCCTTTAGCGATGTAATTTTAGATTAGAATTCCAAACAGAAAATGTTAGAATGAGCTGCTGATATCAAATCTAGTTTGCTAAGGAATTTTTCAGTTTTGACATGCATCATTTACAATTAACATATTCTCTCTGTAATCCTAATATTGGTCACCTACCGCGCCCAATGTCACAAATGATCAACGCTCTTCAACCTGACCCACCGGTGCGAACGGTCCATTCATCTGTCGCTGTGATCGTGATCTTGGCCGCGTGTTTCGCCAGCTCGCTGAGGCCAGGACCCTGGAGCAGCAAGGTCTGCCAGTCATCGCAGCTGTAGAACCCAGTTTGGGTAATGACTTCCCTCAGTTCAGGCCAGTGGCGTTGGAACAGCAATGGACTGCTGCTTAGGTCTTGCATGACGTACGGCAGTATATCCAGGAAGCTGTAATAAAATATGCATGAATCAATAAAATTATTTACGCATTCTTAGGCCAGCATAAAACGACAGATTTAATTAGGCATCATATGTGCTGGAGAGAGGAAAACATACATTTCTAGGTAATCGGATAACATTGTGGAAATGGTCTGTAGCTGAAGATCTATCGAAAGAGCTTTTTGGGGGATGTTAACGAAATTATGACTTGAGTATCTGTTACGGAGAATTGAGGGTGCATTTCAACTATTAACCATTTATCTCTTCATAGATGAACGACCAAGTTAAGGATTGTTTAGAAACAAGGTGCAGCTTTGCATTCCCAGGTCATAAGTTGTTCACAGTTTCCTGCAACAGCTTGGCTTCAAGCGCCAACCAATATAGTATGGGAGCTCAAGCCCTGCAAGTGGACACGACGAAACAATGTTGATTGAATACAGCCCGATCATGAGAATTTTCCATCGATGCGTTTGGTAGTTATATTTGGTATTGACATTTTTCGAAATTGTAGCAAGATTTTGTTTACGTGAATTGGGAAATTCATTTAAATATAAATTACTCATGTAATATTGCACGACAGAAGTTTGATAGACATTTTCTTTCCCATTTAAAGATTAAATGCATTGTTTTCATTTCTACGGGCATATCACATAAAATTGTAATCTCACCTCGCCTTCATCGCCTGTGTTGTGCCTAGTATTTCATGGAGGGACTTGTCGTTCTTCAGTTCTTCGAAAACAAACAGTGCTGCAAATTTTTCTTGTATTGTTTTGTGATTAAATGAGTATGTGGCAGCAGTAGTTCCAGACAAATTTCTTTTGACGGTGAAAATTAGGGACAGAAAAACTTTTGAATCGATTGTCATGGCTGCACTGTGAGCGGTCATTTGGTCGTGACATTCTCGCTCAAACAGCAAGAACTCGTCCTTGGAGAAGGCGATCTTGTCCATGGAAAGATACTTCAAGGCGGACTTGCCGATGACCTTGAAAATCTTGTTGATCAGAACTGATTTGTCGGGTACGTGCGAATCAGATAATTTTCTTTCAATTACAGTCATGTATAGCATCAATGTGTCCCTTGACAAGTCTTTTGCGCTGTTCCAATTGTCGATCATTTTTGGAGAAGTTAGAAAGATGGTGCAGAACTGAAGTAGAGAAATTGGCTGCGTTAGTAAACTTCTAACTGCAGGGTTCAGTTGGGAAAATCGATCCTGCATCGCTGCACAGGTAGCTGGGTCATTGATCAGATTTTGTTTACATCCTTTGATAAACTCCAACTGCTCCGCCAGCTCTGAGAGAGGAGTGATATTGTAATGAGTAAAACTCCTCTGGTGAATGAACTGCTCGAGTTCTTCGATTGCTTTTGGACGAGTCGTGATAATAATGCGTGACTCAGAGTGCCATGTTTTCTGAAACAATTCTCGCAACACCGCCATAGAATTAGCATTGGCCTCGTCAAATGCGTCGACCAAGAACAGAACGACAAGGCACGAGAGAGCCTGCATAACATTTTCGGTGTCCATTTTTGAGCAAACGTTTCCGAAGTGCAAGCGAACAACTTGATGCAACTTGTCTTTAGTGTCATCCCTGCACTCGATGAAGACAAGGAGGTCGAAACTCTTTAGGTAGTCCGGGACTTCGCACTGCAATCCAAGGAACTGTTGTATTAGGTTCTTGAGTAGCGTCGACTTGCCAGCCGCTGCAAAGCCAGACACAACAACGACTTTAGTGGCTGCGTTGAATACTTCCGTGTATGGAAATTTCTTGTCATCTTCGTGTTGTAGCGTTAGTTTGGGTGGGTAAAAGTCAGCCGACAGTTTGAGATGACCTACGCCGTTGTTTAGGTCGTTGGTGAAATTTTGTAAGAGAAGCCCAGCATGTTGTTTCCCTTCGTTGCACAGGCAACGAGAGAAGTAAGCTTGTTTCATTTCACTAGGAGAGAACCCTCTGCTTATGTCACTTCGCAACTCATCTTCCAGAGCCTTTACCTCACGCTTCGAGAGTTTGTAAAACTTCCCTGCCACTTGGATGAGCTCCAGCAACTTGTTATGTAGTTCTGGAACTTTTGACGGATTTTTCATAGCGCTGCACTCATGCGCTATTTCATTTCTTATATCTTTGACAGCCTTTAAGCTATCTTTAAGTTCCTTGCATTCGCTTTCTTCATATTTTGTTTGGAGGAGAGCACAGAACAAAGAAAACAGTTCCGTTGTATCCATATCGTCGGAAGAGGTTTTGTCTTGGAACAACTCGCGGTATCGCCCGTTTGAACATACTTGCTTCCAGGTACGTTCAGTGAAATTGCTGTGTTTTATTTCTATATACTCTTTATATGAATGATTTTCTTGCTTATCACTGCATTCAATATTTAATATTTTCCGGATGTACTTCGGCGCAAGCTCGAAGCTTCCCTCGAAATTTTTTCGGATCGTTTCCATTTCTTGGAGATCGCCATCTTTGATGAGAAAAAAAAATAATAAATTATCCTGCACCGAAGATATGCTTTCAACTTGTTTTGAGTTGAATACTTATTCTTCAAAGCATCATTTGTTTGATGGATAGGATTATGATTAAGACTTGTCGTTCACTTATCTACTCATTAAAATTTCCATGGATACCTTCCTTTAGAATTCAATTCTCTCATTTTTAGCCAAACATTTCGACAAAATATTTTCTCTGCCTTCAGCCGCCACATGGCATGGTCTACATATATATAACCATAAATGAGTTGGAATAGTAAGTTGGAAAAGATCTGAAATATAACTGATACAGACGTTTGACTTGAATGTTTGATTTCTGTTGAAATCGAGATTAAAAAAATTTCGACCTCAGAGCAAGAATATGATTTCATTACATAGCTATGAAAATTTAATTGCACGAAATTCAGCGCTTCGCCTACCGTAGTGCTTTATTTAAGTTAGGCGCTATACACTTATTGCGTCAGGAAGAGTGCTTCTCCTATCGTAGTTGAACGACTTGTGGTGAGTCCAATGTCGATCAAACGATTTTCGAACTATCAGAATAAAGGAACTTGTATACAGCAGGCCTAACGATAGTCCACCATTTGTTCACTCGTAATCATAGTTCATCGTTGGCCACGTAGAGTAGACCCGTGAGACGCAGGCAGGTCAGTATGCATACATGACAACTATCGTCTTATAAGATTCATGCTTGTTTTCTTGTGAATTATTTCGTCATTCTGACGTCGCTGACGCCTCGGATATGAATTCGTTCATAGACAGACTAGACCTCACTATGCGGTAAATCTCGGACTAAACCTGTCTTTCCCTTTTTGAACTTATAAAAGACAAACACTCAGACATGCTTTGAAAGATCGGTTTTTGATCGGTCAAAACATTGACAAGAATCGATGATAGAAGAGTGTGTGCTTAATCTTCAACGTTCGGACTATTATACTTCATGTTCAAAGTCGAATGTGTGATGTGCCAAGCTGCAAGACGTTAAGATTACATAGAGTAACATATTCCTTCAAATCCAATATCTGCATATTTATTTTTAAAAAATTGCACCTTATTTTAATGAGGTGAGATATCGACACATAAAGTCATAATGGGCAATTTCAGCCCGCGACGCATAAGTGCGTGTAAAATACTTCCAGCACATGTACAACAAATACTGAACACAGCGCTTATTGCTGCGTTGGTGGGCAGTTTCTGCACTTACGTATGAGCGGGACGGTGACTGGGCCCTGGGATCGCCGCAGGATCTTGCGCTGCTGCCAGCGATACCTGGAAATGGGAGTGACGTCAGGACAAGTCACGCAAAATCCGCACGACTGATTGGAAATATTACAATTTGGAGGTCTTATCTCTTTTGAATTTTGTCATTTACTTGGTTTATAGGCTAGTTGAAAAGTAGGCTTTAAAGAATAGCCTAGCTTATTTATGAATTTCTCAAAAATTGAAATAGTTTTCATGACTTGGAAAAGACAGTGGGGTTGGTTAAAAATGCTGGCCATTTTATCTTGTTATCTCTCTTTACTCTACGGTTTTATGCCTGTTGAGGTACGGTGCACGTAGACGTGCGATGCACGAGGAGTGGGGTGCATGTAGGCGTGTCATGCACGTATAGAGGCATTGTGCACATATACGAGTAGTGATGTATGTAGAGGTACGCAGAGTTAGCTGGCCGGTCATTGTTTCACGGCACCATCCGGCTTAAGCCGGCTAAGACCAACGCCGGTTGCAGCTTTGAATTTTGACTCAGCTTAGAACCAAATTCATAGACGATGACGACCTCAGACGATAACACTGCACCAATCAGAACTACAAGCCGATGATGATTACCATAAGAATGAACCTCAACCACTGGTAAAAATTACTCGAAAAAAAGACCGAGACTACAAGAAAAAACATTGATCATCAATATAATGAATCATTTATCTCTGGACTCAGGTTAGACTTGCCATAAAACTCTTCTGGAGCTCTAAATATCCCATTTAAGTCCTCACAGGAACCACTTAACGAAACGAGAAGGAATACGGATGATAGCGCTATGTGAAAGACGCAGCCTCTTTAAAAATATTCGAATACGTTAGACGTAACAAATCTAATATATTAGCTGCTAATAAACATCCTTCTCCAAGACACATCAAACATCTTCTTTCACAATGATCCTCACTTGCATTCTACGACATAACTTCCGGTACTTGAACAAAAAAGATTAGCAGACAATTACACAGACATATATCCCTATTATCATTCATATAATCATCTAATCCATCATTGACATTAAGGGCACTTGAAAAATTAAATAACAAAATTCAAAACAGCAAATACAACACAATACTGCCGTAGCCATTTTTGTCTAATTCCTTACAGACTCCACGGCTGCTTTCAAACATAGAAACACATACACATGTTCACTATAACGGTTTACACCCATTAAGGACCATCATCAATGGAACAACGAACATCCCACCCGTACAGACTATGGACGTGTAACCCCTCCACACTTACTCTGACCCCACCGAATCAAACCTAACCGAACGTAACCTAACTTCATTTGCTGCATCAAGACGGAAGGGTCGGTAAAGCCGGTAATTGGCTGCAGCAAGGTGGAGAGGCAGGATAAGTGTGGTTATCCCAACGAGCCATCGAGCCTAAAAGGCCTCACGTGGTAAAATTTCTCGTTCGAGCTTCCTTCTAACGGCACATCCTACGTCTGGCTGCACACTTCTCCTACCAAACTCTACACACACATCGTGCACACTGTCCCCACTTGTTCCAGACACGAAATCTGGCTTTATTTTATTTGCATTATTGTGAAAACATGAATAAAAATTAACATTTTTAATTATCAAAAGATTTACTACCATTTATCAGATTTACAAAGGAATTGATGAATATTTTACTGTAATATCAGTATTACACAATGCAGTATTAAATATCCTGTACTGTATTTGCTGTATTATTTCACTGTATTATCCAATTGATTATTTTCTTCCTGAAAACTCTTACTCACAATACGTGTTTATAATTCGTTAACTCGCAGTTCACAATACGTGCAAAGTTAGAACAATCAACTAGATTTAGGCTCATTGATAAATGCATGTGATAAGGTCGGCAGAGCATAAATATCACAATTTCATATCAATTGAAATATAAAAAAGTCACACATAGCATCGAAAGTAATGTGCAAAAATTTGCCTTGACAATTTTAAAAACTAAGCTTCGATAGCTTCAATTATCAAATTTTATGATAAATGATAAATTTTTTTTTTTTTGTAGGCCTCCCACACTCACCATTCCAACAAAAAGGAATTAATTTTATTAATTAAAAACAGGGAATGGTTTCATGTCAATGATCAGGGCCCCGACCTTAACGCCTCTGATGGTGGCCTACACCGACTCCGAGAGTCACTGAGCTGTGACGCGAGTAATCGCCTAAAGATCCATCATCCAAATACCAAACGTTAAACTCAGTGTTCACCCGGCGTATAATCTCGTCAATTCCTAAAGAGAATAAAGCAGGGCCAAAAGGATCACCTTGCTGTATGCCGGTCGCGGATACCAAACAAACTCGACCCCCCAAAGAATAGAGGGGACGGTTCCGAATACGCTTGGTACAGCATTCTATACAATTTGGTGATTCGATACAATTTGGTGCGAATATTGTCTGCTTTTTATCCCTGAAAAATTAGTACACAGTTCATGCATATTCGGTAGAAAAGCAAGGGGGGAGCAACCTAAGACCAGCAATCAAGGCGAGGAGGTTTACCGTAACTCCTTAGCTTAGAATCCTTGCACACCCATGCTGTGATGATCTTGCTTTCGTCAACTCAGAAAAATCATGTTATGTTCATATAAGGTAATTAACGATGCACTTGTAAGGCCAGGAATTGATATTTAGGCCAAGAATTTTTACAGGAATTATTTTACTCTGGTCTTCAATGAAACCTGCTTGAAAGTATGTATATATATGTATATATGTATATGAATGAAGTAAGGAATTTATCAACCATGAACTATAGTTTCTACTGCTGAAATGTTAGGTCATTAACATGTCACCTGATTGCTAATAATCTGTAGGCGGCAGAGAGAAAATATTAGGAACACTCACCCCAAAAACGCGACCAGCAACACCACCACGACAACTGCCATGACGGCACTAGCAATAACTCCTGGCGATGGCGGTGTAGTGGCTCTTGGTAACAGTGGTGTTGTGGCTGCTGTTGATGATGGTATTGTGGGCCCTGGTGACAGCAGTGTATTGACTCCTGGTGATGGCGGTGCAACGGCATTTGGTACAAGCGGTGTTGTGGCTGCTGTTGATGAGGGTATTGTGGGCCCTGGTGACAGCAGCGTATTGACTCCTGGTGATGGCGGCCTGGTTTCTCCTGGTGATGTAATGAATCCTGTTGAACCGATTAGGAATTGGAAAGAAATAGTAAATCGGACTGATTCTTCCTTTAGCATAAAGCGTATGAAATGGCGTATGAAGCGTAAGCGTAATTGTTACGTAATGAAGCGTATGAAGCGTAACAATCATCAATACGAATCATCGTCTAACCTTAACGATCAATTCGTAACATACCATGCAAGAGAAGGTAATCACTAAGCAATCAAATCAAGCATTAATTCTTACGCCGAATATTTGGCTTCTGGGTAAATATGACAGACCTTAGTTCTGCTCAGCATCACTGCTCCTTGGCATGGTCACCGTGACTCCAATTTGAATAGTAGCCACAAGTCTTACATGTAGCAAGTAGCTGCAAAATTAATATGAAAACCGGAGTATGGGAGATAGCTGCAGATTTCCACATACAA